CAGTTCCGAGTGACCCACCCTTGGCTCCCGGAGCCCTTGAGGACCTGATGACACAGAAAAGGCATCTCCCAGAAAAACAAAATGCTCAGTGATTCAGTTTTGCCTGCACCGTCACGGGGCTTCCTGACTCCCCAAGGCCCATTCAGCCCACCCACCGTTCAAAACACATGCCCTCACTCCGTCCTATTCTCCCCCCAGTGAGCCCCCTTCCGGGAGGTTGGGGACTCTGTGATCACAGCAGGGAGCTGAGAAAGGCTCTGCGTGATGCCAGAGGGGGCTCCACTCTGCCTGGCCTGCCTTCCTGGGGCATGGCCCTGGGGGAGGGGGCATTTGTGGCCAGGGCCTGGTTTTACGTCCTACCAGCCTGCCTACGTGCAGGGAGCCGAGCAGAGGAAGGTGAGGTCAGTGGGGAGGGTTGAGAGCCCACCCAGCGGGTAGCCCATCCCTTGTAGCACCTCTAGCCACCCTCCCCGCTCCTGGGGAGTGGAGCTGGGGCTGGGCGGCTGGGCCGCTGGGTGCTGGGTTCCTGTGTCTTCTGTGCTCCCCACTCTGCTCCCTGGCTGGGCCTGGCTTTGGGGCAGAGCTGTGGCTCCTTCCTCCGGGCCTCCTCAGCCCCGCTCAGGCCCGCCTGTCTGTGTGGAGTGGACTGGCTGAGCGGATGGTCTGGGTTGGGTGCCGAGTCTGCTGTGTCTTGGGGCCCTGGCCGTGGTCCTGCTGCTGGAAAGGATGCTGGTTGGAAATGAGCCCATCGAGACGTCCCCCTCTGCCGTCAGTGGGAGGTGTGTGTGAGCAGGTGTGTCTGGGGTCTGTGATGAGTGGTGTGTGTGTGTGTGGGGGTGGACGTGAGCGCCTGGGGCACCCTCTGGTGGGGAAGGGTGAGCAGGTGTGTCTGGGGTCTGTGATGAGTGGTGTGGGGGTGGGCGTGAGTGCCTGGGGCACCCTCTGGTGGGGAATATCTGAGTCTCATGTCCCTTCCTTTTCTTTCTCAGCCCACAGGGATCTGTCCTCGTGGGGCCCCCTCCCCTCCTCTGCTGGAAGGAAGCGTCTCCTTCCTGTACCCCTCAGCTCTTTGGCCTCCATCTCTGCTTCCCCCTCTCTCCCCGGCCTGGCCGGCATGCCTTCTCACGTGGCTGTGCTCTCGTCTCCTGCTGGGCCCGGCCCCACCCCGGCCCTCTAACCCGCATGTGCCCTCGATGCAGTGGCTGTTCTGTGTGGCATGCACCCCCTGCCCTCCTCCCCGCCGGCCCTACCCCTTCCAGAAGCTGTGCGGGGGGGCTGGGGGGCAGGGGCATCCTGAACCCCCAGGGTGGAGGGGGACAGGGGACTGAGTCCCCTGTTTCCTGCTTTTACTAACAAACCCACCATTTTTGTGTCTGGACTTTGATTTGTCTGAGGAAACAGTTGGGTTTACTAACCTGTCATCTCCCTCCTTGCCTTCCCCAGAGACCTTCCTCCATCCCCTGCCCTTGGCTTCCTTTCCACCAGTACCCGCCCCACTTCCTCTACTTCCCCACCCCAGGCTGACCCCCTTCCTCCGTGCATCTCCTGATGCTCCCCACTCCTCCTACCCTCTCCTCCACCCCCTGGGCCAGGGCTGCTCTACAAAAATAGTTGTGAATTTGGGGCACAGATAGGAGGGTGATTAAGGCCACCCTATTCTACCAGAGGGCACCGCGTGGCAGCGATTTGCATAAAGCTGTGGGGCAAGGTCAGGTTTGCACCCCGTCTGCAGGGGAGTTGAGGAGCCCCCGCCCCCCCAGTCAGGTCCTTATAATTCTGAGGGCAAAGGCAGGTGAGCTGGCCCAAGGGACTGGGCCCAAGAAAGCCCACAGAGGGAAGAAGATGCCGCGGCTGGTGCCCGGCTTCCAGGGCGGGGCAGGGGGACAGTGCAGTGGCCGGGCGGGCTGGGAACGGAGTGTACTGACGGGGCCAGACGAGCCTCTTCCTGGGGAGCTTTGGGGTTGGGCAGGCCCTGCCCCCCCCCCCCGAAACAGGGGTGCCTGGTTAGAGCAGTCTCGGAGGCCTGAGGCTCTGCCCACCAAAGGCCCCCGAGGCGTAGGATGTATAGATGGCACACAGGCCGTGGCCCTGACTCCTGAGGTGACTTGATGTTCGCCGTCAATGACTATGATGTGTCCCTGGGCCTGGCTGGGATTAGGGGGTTACAGGGACACGTCAGGCCAGGTGCCCATTCTTTTTTTTAAAAAATATTTTGTTGATTTTTTACAGAGAGGAAGGGAGAGGGATAGAGAGTTAGAAACATCGATCAGCTGCCTCCTGCAC